GTTAAATTTAGCATATACTCCCTCCGTTCCCAAATATAAGTCTTTCTAGAGATTCCAACAAGTGACTACATATGGAGCAAAATGAGTGAATCTACACTAAAATATGTCTACATACATCCATATGTTGTAGTCCATTTGAAATGTCTAAAAAGACTTATATTTAAAAATGGAGGGAGTATAAATTTTTTAAATAAATCTTAGACGTTTCATGCAACCGCTAGTTTCGCTGAGGACTGACAAGAAATAGCTTGTGTTGCCACAAAAAAAAGTCAGAACATATTAAAGAGTTCAAAAATGCCACGTTAGAAACATCTGGTGGGAAGTAGTTGGCTGGATTGCAGCATCGTGCTACCTCGCATCTCTTGGCCAATAGTGATAAAGCTGACAAGTATGTTGGTAGACAGAGGCCGAGGTTGTACCATCGGTGGATAACAAAATTTCAAGTATTGTCTGAAGGTGACTCAAACAAGGTACATGTTACTTTTAACCATCCCCATGCCCATGATTAGTGTCATCTGCAGAAAGTCTCCGAAAGTCTATGAGGAGAAGAGATGCATATGTGGATGGCCACCATGGAAGAAGGAACCTAATCGCATAAAATATTTGACCTACTCCTCTTCCTTTAAAGCATCTCCGCCTACTACAATCTCCTTCCCCAGCGTCTCTTCCCTAGGCCTGATGCCATGAACTGATGAATACCTCGTGGCGGATCTCAAGTTCATGCCGACGAGCTCTTGAAATATGTTGGAACATCAAGGAACAGTTTTAGGGTCATCGGATCTGGCTCAACCGGGTTCCAGCAAGCCGAATTATCGAAAAAGGCTTCATGCCCCACTTTATAGATAAAGCACCAACCATATAATGAACTGTCTGAACACAGGTCCACAAAGACATACAGGGGAGAACAAGAGAGGAGAACTGGAGAAACAAGTCTAGGCTGCGAGCACAACAACATATATTCTCAAACAAAAGAAAAGATACAGCATCAAGGAGGGTAGGTATGGCCGTATGCATCGCCCAGATGCAGAGGCCGGGGGTCCTCCTCCTTTTCTAAAAAAAAATCAAGGAGGATAGGTGATCATCAGTAGACGAGCCAACAATGCCTTGAACCTCCGGATGAGTTGGTCCAGCGCCGACCTATCCTGCTGCTTGGATAACACAATTTATATATAGCGTCAGTGGGTCTATTAGGAATTATGCGCTCAATCACTAGTTTATTCCTAATGCACCACAACGACCAAGCCATGGGCCCAAAATTGACCCATGTCAATTTGTGAGCCTGACCCGAGCTTCCCTCTAACAACTGAAAAAAACTCGGGGAAGTTAGTAGGGCACCATCCAGTGGCGGGGC